GATATTGGAGCATTGGCTTCTTTCTCAGTCCCAACCGTCTCAGTTCACGGAGATGTAAAACTCACTTCACTGTGGACAGTGACACTGATGTTCCAGCAGTTTGTCATCTGAGGGTGAAAGTTTGGGTCATCTTACAGATCTTGGCAAAGCGATGATATAGCTGAATAACCTACTCATGTACAATCTGATGATATCAGGATCTGACGTTGTTTACAAATGGCTCTAAGAGAACTAAGAGAACTTCCCAACATGTGCAACTCTAGAGTTCTCTTTTTCTTTGGACTTTCCCAATGTTCTCAGGATTGGTCAGTCCAGTGAGCGCTGTCCAGCAAAACTACAAATCATGTTTATCATGTGAGAAGTTTATAGGCCTTGGCCTTGTCAAGTCAAAAGACATAATGTAGAACATTCAGCACCTCTCATTAAAGTATTTAAGTGATCATATGTACATATCAGGCGGGGCCTGTTAGAGATAATCCAAGACTGAAAGATGGATACTGTACAAGCATCCCATTCTGGAAAAAGAACAGTTCAAAGAATTAACAGAAAGCTCAAAATGACCATGAAATTTGTTCCTGTGATTAGCGGATGTAAACCTTTGACCACAACTGTATATTAGTATGATCCTGTTTCTAAAAAAGATTAATTTAAAAACAAATGCTGTGTAATATGGTAACATAACAGAACGTAGTGATGTGCAAACTGTTTAGAGTTTGTTTTGAATAGAAAATACTTAAAAACTCCCAACAACAAATTTACTCAACTCATCAGCAAATTCAAAAACATTTGTGTCTCATCATTGTATTTATGGGACTTTTACCTTTATTAGAGGGTTTGGGACATGTTCCATTTATATGACTGTCTTTACTGGAGACAGACCACATATCTCTGTATGTGCCTGATGACTATAAACCTGAGCCTGTGACCTGTTGCTTCATTCATGTCTATGGACATAATACGATTACAGCAGTACGTGTGTTCAGATTGGACCAACAACTACAAAGGATTAAAGCTCCTACTGTCATCCTGAGCCTCAGACTAGCTCCTCCCATATCTACTGAACTCAGTGCTCCATGTTGCCGGGAAGAACAGTCTGTTAATAGCCACAGTCGTGATAGCTGAAGCTGTTTCTGTCACAGTCAACTTACCAGCACTGATTAACATTTCTTGAGTTGTTTTGGGCATGTTGCTTTAAACGCCTCTTTGTGAGAAGGCAGATGTTCTTTTCTGTGTTCTGAATGAAGTTGAAGTTAGTTAATCTAGATTAGCAATGAAACTCAAAGCAGGGGTTAACTGGTCGTAGCTAGTTTGCTGATTAAGCATGCTGATATAGCAGTAAGAGGCTAACATGTTTTTGCACTTCATCTGCAGCCTGTGCCGTCCTACGGGACACAGACTCCACACAAAAACTCCAACACGGTCGATGTGCCAATGACGGAGATGCACACACACAAAGACAGCACGTTCGATTTGACGGGTGACTCGGTGAGCCAGATGAATGCACACACAGTCTACTACAACATCTGCCAGGTGTAAATGGAGAGAGTAGAGCAACTCACCTAGCAAAGGTCCAACTGGGTCTGCGAGACCTCATAGTGCCATCTGAACAGGATTGTTAAGAAGAGATTAATTCTATACAGGAACCTCCTTCTTGGTGTCAGCTTGATTAAGCTAACTTGAGGTGGAGGTGGCCAAAA